CTCGTATTTTTCCAAGTAAGTAAGCTCTTGCTCATTCTCTTCCAACTTACCAAACAAAGCCGTAAGATCAAGCGACTTAAGATCACTTGCTTCTTTAATAGCGTTGACCTTTGGTTTCCATTCTCTACTTAAACACTTCAAAACTTTGTTAGTAGCAAGTTCGTTGGAAACGGGATTACCTAGTGCATTTAATCAATTTATAAGATGAGTGAACTACTTTCGCATATCCGCAATCGTTTCACCATGCTCAATATGGAATAACTCAAACTCTTGATTTAATATGTTGATCCTAGCTTATTTGACATTATTAATACCCTCATGGAGAATCTCTAATGCATCCCACATAGCTTTGGCGGTCTCACAATGAGAAACGCGATAAAATTCATCAACTCCCAAGGCAAAAGTGAGAATGTTTTTCGCTTTCCAATCATGTGACCATAATTTCTTATCATTATCATCCCATTGTACTTCCAGTTTTGGTATTATGACACCATTCTCATTGGTCATAATTATTTCATTTGGACCATTTTGAATAGTATCCCAAATACCTTTGTCAACGAAGTTGACATGAATATGCATACGTGCTTTCCAATAGCCATAATTTTCGCTGGTGAAAATTGGTGCTTTATTGTACGCACGTTTAGGATCGGTAGCCATTCTTCTAAGAAATATATCTAAATCACATAATGAATCAGAGCTCTTGATGTCACTTATTAGACGATAGACTTCGATCTAAAGGGGTGAATAGATCTCAAATTCTACAATAAAAAACTTTTGGCAAAAATTTGTTTTCAAAATTTTAGAGCAGCGGAAAAACGACCCAGAACGAATTGCCTAACCAAACCTACTATCGAAAATCAATATGTGTAACGCAAACCAAACGGAGTTATAATGAACGTAAATATTCAACAATGATCAAGCTATGAATCAATTAAATTCAATGCTAATCGTAACTCGTATATCCAAAGAACCAAAACGCAAACAAAATGCACACAAAAAATTTATCAAACACTTGATGTGCAATCGATAATAATTGGAAATATAATTTTTTTGTTGACATTAATACCTATCACAATCAAAGTGATTGTGATTATATCAACAACAACAACACCTTTAAAAGATAGTAGAAAATAATTTCCAATCGACTTGATCAAACAACGACGAAATCAATAAATTGCATAATCAACAATAAAAGAAATAAAGAGATGAAGAGAGAGAGAGAGAGAGAGAGAGAGAGAGAGAGAGAGAGAGAGAGAGAGAGAGAGAGAGAGAGAGAGAGAGAGAGAGAGAGAGAGAGAGAGACCAACATTTTTTTAGGCAGTTCCATAATCGGCCTCACTATGGGTACGTCTGCCCTCAATTCAAATCGAATTGAGATAATGCTATTAACCTTTTCTTTGCAAAAAATGTTTATACAGGAGATGAAGAATGCAAACCCCAAAATCCTATTGTTTTATGTTGATTTTTCCACCTCTAAACCCTTGATCATGTGACCAACAATGTGGCTAAAATCCTTCGATTATCCCGAGCATGCAACTTGTTGAAACCCATGATTCCCGAACACAATTCACCGTCTCACGCTACACCTTTGCAAAGAAACCACCTTATCCCAAAGCCTTAACTCGATCGAATTTGTGTTGACGTGATCTCGTCCAAAACCTTCAAATTACCCGATCTTGAAGGAAAACTCCACCTTGGTTTTCTTATTTGAAACACACAAATCCCCCAACCCAATATTCTCGGTTACACCAAACCTAATTGGACGTTATTAACCCTAATCTCGATGGTCACCTAATCGAAAAATGATTATGTGTAGTTCAATTGTGTATACATAGAAGAAGGGTTGAAGATGATGGGCAACTTTGTAATCTAGTTTCGTTTAGGTTTTATTCACTATAAATTCTTGCCTAGAAGAAGATGCATTTCTTAGTATATATAGGTATGTGAATGAATGGGAAAAAGGAATGCAAAAAGATGGAGCAAAACTGAAATTTTTGAATGGGAAAAACATATTGGTCGGCCTATGAAAGCAATAGGTCGGCCTATGCGTGTCATTTAGGTCGGCCTATGAAGGTAATAGGCCGAATTGTGAAGCTCATAGGTCATCCTATCTGCCAGCCTGTGATGCAACTTGTGGACAAAACATATATGCTTTAATACTACTCTATAGTAGCCAACCTGAAAAGTCCATGTGCCGACCTATACTGAAGCTGAGGGCCGTGTAGGTCGGCTTATTCTTGCATAGGCCGGCCTGAATAAACTTGTATACTCAAAAACATGTTTTTCAATGCAAATATGATGTTGACCCCCTTTCAAACTCATTTGAATGCTTCCTAATGACAAAATGCACATCTAGAATGGGAGGATACTACCCAATATACATAACACTACACTATCCTAGTTTTGACATCACTCAAAATACAAAATCCCCTCACATACACCTTATCCTAATTGGATAGCCAGCACTCTTAAATCTCTGTGGTGTTAACCATTGATTGCTTACCCACATGCAATATTGATGACTCTACTTTTATAAATCCTTCAACAATTGTGACAAGCTTTATAACCCATATGTTAATATCCTTATGAAATTGACTTGACCTGATTCCGCGTATTAGAAATGCACATATTCAGTGTCTCACTTCCTATGCACAACTCTAATAAGATATCACTCACTTGGTGTAAGAGTTTTTTACATCTAATCCTAGGAGAAAACACATATCTGATTCTTTATGAATCTTATTGAGGTCTTCCATTTATCACTTTTCATTGTGCTATTCTGATTTAAACGACGTAAAACATATGGGCTTCAAGTGCACTACTGGTTATCTTACAACTTCCACAGAAAGTCGAATCTATCTTCTAGAGTGCCTACTAAACAATGTTAGATCATTACAGGCATCTACCGGTAGAAAGAATTTCTTGCCGACAAATAAGGTTGAGAATATGACCAACACCAACTAACAAAATGATACCATTAATGAACTTCAAGTCATCAACGAGACAACGCTTATATGGAATTTTAACCCATTAAGAATGCAATTGTGTGTTTCTAGCACTATTTACAAAGTCATACAATTCGGTCACACATCTTGAGATGAAACCACACTTTCTAACCATGATTATTCACTTTGATCATCCTGCTTCATCTCATATAAATTTCTAGCTCTTGTTATTTCACATATAAAATCCTAGTTACATGCTTAACTTTAGGAACACCTCATTCACACTCTCGCCTAGAAGGATAACTAATCCTGTCGATGGGTTATGGTAGCATTGTATACAAATAGTACTACTCTCATGTGGGTCTACCTCCAAGACCATGTATGAGTGAACTGTCCAGATACCATGCCTAAACTATCCATTTATCTTATCAACATCTTAGAAAAATACTGAACCATACTCTTCAAGATCACTACTTGGTAAGTCTCGTCGAACTTCACTCCATATGGCTCTCATTAGTCATAAGAGTGATACACCCAAGACTTGTTCACCCTTAAAATAGTTCGTACAGGTTGGCTCACAAGCGTCCCACTTCCTTGACATCTCCACAAGTGATCTATTACACAATACACCTTTAGAAATATATTTTCAAAACTATTAATATGACTTGCATTAACTTGTAATTAATTTCTCAACTCGCACAATGGCACCCAAAATGAAATTCCATATTTACTTAGTTCCAACAATGTGTGAACGTCATGCTCTATGATCAAATAATCCATACTTTACTTAGGAAGATAAACAACAACATGATTTAAAGTAAGTCATTCCTACTATTGTCAACCAAATAAAACGCATTCAAGATGAACCTTGACATTTCCACACACTTATCGACATGGATTCCCTTCTGAAGTAATTAACATCCACTAAACGCTTCATCACACACATGTTACATATCTGAACGACTCATAGCTGAAAACTCTTGCTGCCTACTTGTGATTTCATGCGATGTAATCTATTTCACGTTCCACACTTAGTTTCGTATCCAAACTTGGCTCGCTCTCAATCGCTTGCCAAAAACTTGAACTTTTAGGACACAAAACTCATATATGCTCAAATAAAATAGTGTGATACTTAACAACTATCTCAAGACAAAATAATCAAACATACATACTTGTGATCAAGATATTACTAGCACATAAATCAAAAGTATAACTCTTTCTGTTCCAACTTGCATTCGAGAAATCTTTAGATTTGGACATTCATTCAGACCTATTCAATTATATTACATAAAAATATAGATGATGGGGCCAAAAAAATTGAAAATTGAATAGTTAAAGATGAAATAATTGAGAGAGAGAGAGAGAGTGAGAGAACAAGTTCGTAGATTGACTCGTTAACCAAAATTATGAGTCGATCAACATGGTAGTACATTTTAGAAAATTTCTTTAAAAATAAGTTGAAGTTGCCTAATTATCAATTTGCTTGATTTGGTTGGAGGAGTGGAAGTTAGAGGATCATTTTGGTATATTGCTCATCTCTTATTTAGTTTAACTTTTTGAGAAATTACACTCACCTCCTCTAACGAATGTCAGTGTCAGTTTAATAGACCTCTGAGTTATTGTATATATTAAAACTTAAGGAGGTATCAGTGTTGTTTTGATAAACTTCAGAGGAAATGTGAGCAAAATTTTTCCTTAAAATAATACTAAGAGTAGTTATATGTCTTTTAATTTAATAAACGAACAGTAAAAGCGCGCAGATCCTTTTTCTAAGAATTTTACTTTCCTTGTCAATGGAGTAAAGTGCATAAGTATAGTCTAGTTCTCTGACATTAAAACTTTATTAGTATTGAAGAAGATATGGATAGATCTCAATTAAAGTGGAGGCATAATATCTTTTCTTAAGCATATTTAGTTATCTTGTTCATATGGTAAACATATATGAATAAATATATGAAATAGTAAAGGTTATTCAGAACTAAACAAATACTAGTGCACCGAGTCGTTCATTACATTTATATATATTCACTTTGCAACACCATTGTATCATATTACATGATGGCATCCCAAACTACTCTTGAAGAGAAATTTGTGGAGCTTCAAGAAGCAAAGCAAACGCACCAAAATTCACACCCCAAGATCCAAAAGGTTGCTGAGTATCTCCGAAATAGAAAAAATTTCGACAAGCAATACTCACCCAAGTTGGTGTCAATAGGTCCCATCCATCATGACAATCAAAATCTCAAGTTAGGAGAGAGCTATAAGCTTACCTGGGCAGCAAAATACATCCAAACCACCCAATGCAGCCCACAAATTCTCTACAAAAAGATCGCAGATAACATCAATGAACTCAAGGGTCTTTTTGCCGACGATGTTTTAGCTTTAGCCAATGCTGCGGAGTCTCTGAAAGGCTTCCGCAGCCTTGAAGAAAAGCTGTCATGGCTGTTGTTCGTGGATGGATGTTCCTTGCTGTATATTTTGGTGAATGTGAATCTTGATCAACTCGATGAACCAAAAGATGTGGACATTAAGGTTGATCAACTTGTTCTTGTGATCATGGATGCGCTTTTGTTGGAGAATCAGCTTCCTTATCTAGTACTGAAGCTGTTGTGGATAAATGACAATGAGACGGAATTGGTAGATATTATGAAGAATTTTCTCAAATGTCATCATTGGGCTACACCAGAAACTAAGAGGAAGTGGAAATGGCAACGCATTCTAGAGAGTAAAAGTACAGAAAACTTCTCTAACATGGTTCACAGCAAAAAGGGAAAAGAAGAAGTACATCATAATGATACAGTACTGGAATTACCGAAGGAGTCGTCACCGATTCATCTTCTTGATCTTCAGCGTAAAATCATCCTCACTAAATCGAATTCCAAGGTAAAAATTTAGTTTTGCTATTTAGATATATATCATAAGTAAGACGATGAAAATGAAATCCATTTGTTATGTATACTTAGACTGAATCCGATAATGAAGCTAACAACAAAAAGAAGAAACAAATTGGAAAAAACTCAGAAGAAAAAACCAAGATGATGACATACAGGAACATACAGGATCTAAGAGCAGCAGGGATAAAACTTAAATCCAGCGCGACGCGAAGGCCAACAGACGTAGATTTCTCAGAGGGTTGGTTTGCTGCAAAACTGACTCTTCCTGAGATTGTTGTGGACGATACCACAGCTTCTACTTTCCTGAACCTGGTAGCTTATGAGATGTGTCCAGATTTTAAGAACGACTATGGGATATGTTCGTTTGCGGTTTTCATGGATTCGCTGATTGATCATCCTGAAGATGTGAAGGAACTGAGATCAAAAGGTATTTTGCTGAATTCGCTTGGGAGTGATGAGGAAGTTGCTGATCTTTTCAACATTATAAGTACTGACTTGGTACCTAACTCAGAAACATATCTTGAAATTAGGGCTAAAATACACGAGCATTATTGTAATAAATGGAAGACTTGGATAGCCCTAGGTTATCACACTTATTTCAACAATCCTTGGGCTATCACTGGTTTCGTTGCTGCGTTTATAGCACTCGCTCTCACTTTCGTTCAAACATGGTTTTCCATTTACCCGCGCAGCTAGCTCATAAACATGGTTTACGGAAGAGTGCCTTTTGCTTTGTTTGTGTGTCTGTGTTTGTCTGTTTTTTAAACAGGCGTGTCGTTGAATTGAAACATGTAACTTTTAAATTTCAAGTTTCTTTATTCAAATTATTGTTCTGATTGATGATTTAGATGTTTCTATATTGTTGCGATTATTGACACATGTATTCCTATACATTAAAGTGAATACACGCGGGAGATTGGATTTTGATTTTACTACTTTTTTCTATAAATTTCTTGTCAACTTCGCACTTAAACACATTCATGCATGCATTAATACCTTTATCCATTATTTTAAATTGCCGTCTGCATTTTTAATTTCGGCTACACTATTGTTGACGGGGTAAGCTCCGCAACCACGTCACACCGCGGTCGCATAAAAAACCACATCAGATAACTTTGATCATATTTATTCTGATCTTATAGCTAAAAATTCATACTTTGGAATCCCAAATCTTTATCTTCTTTGAATACTGTGAAAAAATTAATTTGAACAATCTTTCTTTCAATGGTGTATTTCAATCAATCGCAATATATCCAACGACAACCGCAATTTAATATCATGTCTTCTATCTTAAACACATTCATGCATATGCATTACTACCTTTATTCATAAATTTTTATTTATGTTGTAATATTTTTCTATAACTTTTTCCTTTCATACCTTATCAGTTTCTTGCTTTCTTTCTTTTTCTGCATCTTTTGTATTTGTAGTCTTTCTTTCCTCTATTCTGTTAATGGTTGGTTGTTCCCAGAGGTCAGACTTTGGTCTTTTCAAGGTGAATGTTTCCTTCTTCTTCTCTCGTTTTGAAGATGAGTGTCGATGTTTAGGCTTCATTTACTGTTTAACTGTTTTGGTACGGTGACAGGTAGATATGTTTTGAAATTCTATTCTTCATAGGATAGATGTTGTGAATTTTTTTCATCCCTACCATCTTTTTAGGAAATTATTTCCAAAATATCATATATTTCAACAAATATGCTAAAATGGCACAGTTTTAAAATAAAAAATTTTTGACACAAGGGTGTCGCTCATTCAATGGACGGAAGTGTTCAAATTTTTTAAGGTGCCGCCCATTCAATGGGCGGAAGTATTCAAATCTGATTTTTTTTTTTATGTTTTAATTAAGACATTGCCGCCCATTGGAAGGGCGGCACAAAATAAATTAAGACACTGCCGCCCATTAAAAGGGCGACACCCTTGTGTCAATAATCTCAATTTTTTTGAAAATGTGGCATTTTGGAATTTAATTTGGAAAATATGGCATTTTAGAAATTATTGTCTAAAAATATGGCAGAACAGTGCAAAATTCAGATATTGTGACAATTTGTCATATTTTTAAAATCAATTTAAAAACAATTTGACAAACACACCTACGTCAGGAGACAATCTACTTAAAAAAGCAAATTCACTACTTCGAATTAGAACATTTAGCCTTATAAAAACCCTTAAACCCTATGAAGTTCTAGACGTCTCCATAATCCTAATGGCTTTCTTTTTAGATTTCCTCTTAAATATGAGAATACACTCAATTTCTTCAATCACTAATCCTTATTCGTCAACATCGATAACCAATCTATTGATGTTGAACTTACATCTCAACTAAAACAAACCAACAAAGTGATTTAGAAAAGTGCCCTAAATTTTAATATATATATATATATATATATATATATATATATATATATATATATATATATATATATATATATATATATATATATATATATATATATATATATATATATATATATATATATATATATATATATATATATATATATATATATATTTCAAATAAAAACTATTTACTTGAGTGGTGTATAATAGTGGATTCAACACTAATTCTTATAAGAGCATTAGTGTGGAATACAAAAAACTCTTTACCTATGTCAAGTTACTAAAACATAGGGTTGTGTACAACAGTGAATTCAACACTAATTCTTATGAGAGCATTAATGTGAAATACAAGAAACACTTTGTTATCAAGCTCATCAACTTAGTGTTTTTGAACAAATCTTTACAACTTAACTAACAAATCATACTCTATTTCTTAAGATATGAAAGTTGGCGTTAGAATGGTGCACAAAGATAACACAAACAAAGACTCAAACAATAAACTCTAATGCTAGGTATCTTTATAAGTTCACGTCTCAAAAATGAGGTTTGAGTATCCTTAAATCACTACTAAAAATAAGACATTAGATTAAATGATTTTACATCAGGTTTCCAAAGATATGATGTAAAAAGTAATTGAAAAAGGATTTTACATCAAATTTTAACAAGGTGGCAGTTTCGTAATTATTTAAAAAATTTGTTATAAGGAATTTAACATCAGGCCTGGGTACGAAACCGATGTGAAAAAGTTAACGGATGAAAAAAATTAACTAAAAAATTAAAACAAGTTTTTACATCGGTCGGTACTTTAAAACCGATGTAAAAGGTTTTAAAAAACAAAAAAATAATAATAATAATTAATTTGTTTTTACATCGATTTTGTTGATTGGCCCGATGTAAAATGTATTGAACTAACATTTTACATCGGTTGGGGCATGGACCGATGTAAAAAAGCCTTATATATAAAATTTTCAGAAATGCAGAATTCATTATTTCATTTTTCATAAACGATGTTCCTTCTCTCTGCGCCGCTGTTCTACACATTCGACACATTGTTCCTCTTTTCTCTCTGCCGCCGCAGTTCCTTTTTCCCCACTGTCTTCTCACCGCGCCGCCGTCTTTTCATCGTGTCGTTCCGTCTTTTCAGAAACGTTGTTCCTCTCATCGCGCCGCCGAATCACTTCATCTTCTTCCTCTACTTTGTTGCATGTGCTAGTTTCTCCACTACCGCAACTCTTTGGTTTCCTCTTCAGTTTTTTATTACGGTAACTGTATATTACTGCATCTCTAACACTGGTTTTTTTCCTAGTTCTGATGTTTTTTGTTTATGATATTTTTGATTTCTGACACTGGTTTATTCTTGGTTTCCTAGTTCTGATATTTTTGGTTTCTAACACTGGTTTATGGTATTTTTGGTTTCTGACACTGGTTTATTCTTGAGAAATAGAAATTTTATTATTGAGTAATAAAATTTTTAAGTAATAGAAATTTGTTAGGAATAATTTTTTTTAGGAATAGAATTTTTATTCTTGAGTAATAGAATTTTTAAGTAATAGAAATTTGTTAGGAATAGTTTTTGTTATGAATAGAATTTTTATTCATGAGTAATAGAATTTCTTAGCTATTATAGGAATTTTTTAGCTATTTCGGAACATAGGTATGGATCGTAGTTGGATGAGAGCTAATCAATTAAGTGTTGAGTACGAAAATGGAGTGATGGAGTTTCTACAGTTTGCTGAAAGTAATGCGAAAAAAATCTCCCTCCTCCTAAAAGTAATGTTGAAAAAAGTAATCATCTGCTTTATCTATGTCCATGTGTTCGTTGTGCAAATCAAGAACCAAAACTTAATAAGAAAGAAATCATGGATCATTTAATTTGTGAAGGGATTTGTCAAAGTTATACACAATGGATATGGCACGGTGAAGTATTATAAAATTCAAATGTGTCCCAAAGAGATAATGTTAGCGTAGAAATGGATGATCATTTGGAAGACATGATGCGTGATATTAGACAAGATTCGTTTAAGAGAGCACATGTGTATGATACTTTATGCAGTGACAAGGATAAACCTTTGTACCTAGGATGCACAAATTTTACACGTTTGTCAGCCGTGTTAAAATTGTTTAATTTGAAGGCAAATAACGGATGGACTGACAAAAGTTTTACTGAATTGCTTGAATTGTTGACACAAATGCTTCCAGAACGTAACGTAATGCCAAATCGTTATTACGAGGCGAAGAAATTATTGTGTCTGATGGGTTTGGAGTATGAAAAGATACATGCATGCCCTAATGATTGCATATTATACAAAAACGAGTATGTAAACTATAATCATTGTCCAAAGTGCAAAGCGTCACGCTACAAAAAGAAAGATGGTGATACTAGTGAGGTGGTCAAAAAGGGTCTTCCCGTGAAAGTAGTATGGTACCTACAAATAATTTCAAGGTTCAAGAGATTATACGCTAATGCAAATGATGCAAAGAATCTTAGATGGCATGCAGAAGAAAGAAAATGTGATGGACAAATTCGCCATGTAGCTGATTCTTTGCAATGGAAGAAAATAGATTCTTTGTTTGCAAAATTTGGCAAAGAGTTGAGAAACCTTAGACTTGGACTTTCTACTGATGGAATGAATATGTTTGGTAATCTAAGTACTAACCATACTTCTTAGCCTGTTCTCTTGATGATTTACAACATATCTCCTAGGTTGTGCATGAAGCGTAAATATATTATGTTATCGATGATGATTTCGGGCCCAAAACAACCAGGAAATGACATAGACGTTTATCTAACTCCACTGATTGATGATTTAAGAGTGTTGTGGGAGGAAGGGGTGAATGTTTTTGATGCGCATTCTGGTGAACATTTCAATATGTGTGCCATGTTGTTTTGCACCATCAACGATTTTCCAGCATATCGCAATTTGTCTGGGTATAAAGTTAAAGGGCATAAAGCGTGTCCCATATGTGAAAAAGGCACATGTTACCATCAACTTGAAAAAGTAAAGAAGACTGTTTATCTTGGGCATAGAAAATTTCTGAATCGTTATCATCCATATTGTAGATTGCAGAAAGCTTTCAATGGGGAACAAAAGCATGGTATTGCTCCAAAGCCCTTAACTAGAGACGGAGTTTATCAACGACAACAAAGTATTAATGTTGTCGCTGGAAAGTACCAAAAGCAATCTACTATGAAAAATATATGGAAAAGAGGTCGATTTTCTTCGATCTTCCATATTGGTCTAGTTTTGATGTAATACATTGTATTGATGTGATGCACGTAGAGAAAAATGTATGTGATAGTTTAATCGGAACACTTCTCAACATTCAATGCAAGACAAAAGATGGTTATAATGCTCGTT